AAATTAAACTGGTAGGTTCTCAACGCTGTATCAAAGTAAGCATCAATAATTCAATGAAATACTGTCTTGTTATTCACTGTATACCTCCGAAGCCCGGTAGCCTGCAGGTTACAAGTTGAATGGATGTAAAACCAATGGGAGGATAAACATCAACATCGCCCACTCGGCCACATTTTTCTCAGCACCGTGATCTCAACATTTTGGTCGGTGCCAAGAACTGTCCGCACTTGTGATGACAATGCTGGGTTGAGAACTGCTGAGTTATTAAGATAATGTATTTTTTGAAAAAAAAAGCAGAAAAATATCTTAAAATTAGAGAAAATAAATATTTGTTATTGTAGTTTTGTGTTGGAATAACCTCGTTGATGATCTACTCGGATATGAAGAGATGAGATATAAATACCTACACACAATATTACGCACTAGGTACAACAAGTCTTGTGTGAATACATTATAATTATATTACTTACTAGCGGCCGCCCGCGACTTCGTACGCGTGGATCCCGTTTTACCCCCTTCATCTATCTTACGCGGTTTAGATTTTTTCATACAAATGTTTTTTCCCGCTAACTACCGTTCCCGTGGAAATTTTTCAATATCCTGTTGTAACTAAGCTTTAAGTTTACTAAGGTACCTGTATGCCAAATTTCAAACGTCTAACTTAAGCGGTTAAGATTTTTCAAAAGGATTTTTCCGCTAATTCCCGTTCCCGTGGGAATTCCTAAATATACTATAACCTGCCCAGGAGTATGAAGAATAATTGTACCAAGTGTTGTTAAAATCCGTCGAGTAGTTTTTGTTTCTATAAGGAACATACAGACAGACAGACAAAAATTTTACTGATTGCATTTTTGCCATCAGTATCGATCACTAATCATCCCCTGATAGTTATTTTGAAAATATATTTAATGTACAGAATTTACCTCTCTACAGATTTATTATAAGTATAGATTATAATGTATAATATTGTCTAAAATGGTGTGTGTCTTGTTGGTATTAATAAATAAATTATTAGCGTTGTATTAAAATAAACTTCCATGATATGATTATAACCAATTTTGTACAAATCTAAACCAAATACCACTCCTGAATTTTTAAAAATAGCTTTTTAATTATTTTTTTTACATTTCAATTTGCATGAGATTTAAAATTCGAACTACAAAAATACGTCACCCGTTTCTTCTTTTTGTTAAAAAAAACGTCAATGGGTCAGCGAATGGTTAGTTTTATGGCCGTTGTAAACCACCCGCGCGGTCCCGGGTTTGACTCTCGACGCTAAAGACACTATAAAAAGTGAATGGAGTTGTCGAATACATCAAAACATTTGTTTGTTTTGTGGAGAAAGTTCACACACTGGTTTTTGTTGTAATGTTTTTGATTAGATTCTTTTCTGCGATTTATTATCATAAGCGGCGATCACTTTTCATTTTAACTATTTATAAATAAACTTCATAATATGTTATGTTGGTAAGAACTGGAATAATTTAAAATATGAGCACAGAATTTTTTTTACTTCAGATAATGTTGAAACGAAAATTTTTGGCTGGTTAAATCTTAGTGATTATTATTTGAAATTACAGTAGAACGCCGATTATCCGAATTAATTGGGACCGGGGTCGATTCGGATAATCGAAAATTCGGATAATCGGACATAGACTGGTAATAAAGAAAAAGCGCGTTTAAAACGAACCGTCACACATAGAATAAACTTTATTAAATATGTTTACAGTTCTACAATAACGCTTAGTTGAAATAATCTAGACTCCTGAGAGTTCCTACTTGTTACAACAACACAAAATAAAAATTACTTGGTTTTAATTTTATTTATTACGCTTAGGACCGATTCGGATAATTGGCGATTCGGTTAATCGGCGTTCGGATAATCGGCGTTCTACTGTATAGTTAAAATTAGCAGAATAGCGTGCCTGTAAGTAAGCGTTTTCTAACAACAATATGGTAAAGGGTCATGATTTATTAAAAATGGCGTTATTAAAACAAATTATTAGTAGCAACCAAATACTTCTATTTCATTCATATTTATTGGTTACCCATAAGGCAATTATTTTTATCTTAACGCAATATTGTTGCAAAAATAACGTAGCTGCGTAGCCCTATGTTAATAGACTTCATTAACACGCTTCGTATATCCTACGTCCTACTTAATAAACTTACAAGGATTCTGCTTATAAAGGATTTGTAAAACATTGTAATATTGTCGCCCATTTTGCTTTTTTCGTCGCAATTCTTAGCTTATTAGCACTCCATGTGTTAACCCTTTAACTGCAGTTTATTGCGTCTTTGTAGCTAGCCGCATTGCACAACAAAAGTAAAGTTAAAATTGTACGTTTAGTTGCCACCGATAAGTCATTGTGAAGATTTTTTGTTTAAAAATATTTTTACTGCGGGTTTTTATTTGTAGCGCCGACTAATGACAGTTTTAACGAAATGTTTTTTTTCTGTACATCAAATGAGTTAAAACTTATTTGGTTTTGTGCTTAATTAATTAAGCTATTTAACCACTACATCTTTTATAAGCCTGTTGTTTTATAATTATGTTCAATCGCTGTTAAAGTCTTGTGCAGATTATCTGACTAACATCTAAACACTGTCAAAAGAAAACACGTAACTTTGTAAATACTTAATTTTATTAACTCTGAAACTAACAGATGATATATAAGTGTCCTATCTAGATTCGAGTAATATGACATTAATATGTATTTATAACTACAAGAATGAATTTAGCGTTACCACTAACTCGTGTGTTTAACCGTAAAAGCTTTTGGCATGCGTATATAAGACTTAATCTTAATATACCTGTATACTATGTTATTTACACTATACATAAACCCCTTTTTAAGCAACTATGTAGCCTACTTGAAGACCCTGCAAACTTTGAAATCGATTCAGATGCAATATTTACTTGTAAAAGGATTATTAAGGCTTAAATAAAATTGACTATAGTAAAATAATGAAAACAAATTTATTTCATAATAAATGTTTCTATTTTAGTCTATATAATAACTTTGTACATTTATTTTAAAATTAATAATAATATTCATAGGTTTTTCATAATATTTATATCGGTAAAATACTCTGTAACAAAAAAACCCGTCGATTCGAACGGGTTTTAAAAACTCAAAATGTCGGAATTACACATTCATGTCAACTAGCTGTCAAGTGGTCTTGACAACTTAACTAAAGGTTAGATTCAAGGTTTTAGGTCTAAAAACGAGAAATCAAGGTCTAATCCATTATAGAACTGAAAAGTCAAGTGCTGTCCACGTTCGCACTTCAAAGTAAATATTTACTAAAATAAATTCGCTATTGATTATGTTTAGCTTTTCTATTTGCTAGAAAAACAACTCTGGTATTGTTAGACGTTACATCATATACGCTTGCCAAACGTAGATGTACCACACTGCTAAATTTACACTTGCATATAAATATATATTCGAATGGAATGTGCGGAAGCATAGATAGGAACCTATCTTACACCAAAACACCTTTATTAAGAACTCACACAGTGCACTGGATGTGATAAAAGAAAACAGGACGGTAATCGACGAAAAACATTTTCAATCAAAGCAAATCTTAAACTTCACGGACTTTCAACAATAAAAATGGAGATTCACAATAAATATTTGATCCCGTTTACTTCTACCACACGTTTCGGCACTGTTACTTATGCTATATATATACAAAACTTATTTAGAACCTATTCGCGATGGTCGATGACAGAGAACTAGAATTCCATTTCACCTATCTAAATTATATTATATAATACACAATTTGTTACACAAAACATTGCACTGTCCGACGGTCCGAGATATGATGGCCCTGGTTTTTTGTGTGCCGACTTATTAGACTATACAATAGTCATAAGGCTATGTAAAACTAATAAACCTAACCCTTCCTTTGGCTCGCCGGCGGAAGAGGATTGTAGATATTTTTTATGTTTGTGCTCTAGGCCTATCTGTTTGTGATAAGATATTCACGATTTTGTAACTCATTTCCGATGGTCTTCAACTTTGATTAGAATAGGCGGCACTTGTATTGATGAAACGTAGTCACTACGCAGATAAACTTAAAATCAACGCGCATAATCTCAGTGACATATTTTAGAAATTTTGTGTCTGATGCCACAGTTGAGGAACATAAATATGAAAAACTGATGTTTTATAACTTATCTAGAAAATATCTTTAAAAGATAATGTTTATTGCGGTTAATGTTTCGCGTTTTTTATATTTATTTAATAAATAAAGGTGAAAATAAATATTTTAATCAGATTTTTAGCAACAGTTTTGAGGGCCATGTTAATTTAAAAGGAGGTAATATGACATACTTACTTTGTTGTAGTGACTTTATATTTTGTATTGATATTATTATTTTATTACGATTTTAAGCAGTTTAATAATTTGTTCTTAATAGTCATTTGAGTGAATTTATTTATCAAATTAATCAATTATACTGTTTGAGAGTACTGCTTCCATGCAAATGTTATTTTATTTAGACGTAAACCTTTGATTTTATTTGCGTGACCCAGCAAAATAATAGTACAAATAAATAACTATAATAAACAAAACATAATTGTGTGTTTGTTTAGACCGAGCAAAAGACTTCAACGCGCTGCAGAAATAATATCTAGCGTTCAATAGATAATGCTGATAACGTATCGTATTGATCGCATTATACGCGAGATTATCGTGTTATATCACTTTTGTTTTATTCTATTTGATTTAGGCGGGCGTAAGCTCTCTCATACATCAAAATGGTCAGTTTAACTTTTGTTTTACCATACTGCGACGCTCTAAGGGTCGGCACACGTAACTCACGCAGAGACCACAAAGGACACTTCCGCAAAAGTCCAAACTTCAGGCCAGAGGCCGCTCGCCCCACGGCGTCCGTGCACTAAACATCTACCTACTAATAAAACGCACACAGTATGGACAGTCGTCCTAAATATTTACACAAATGTACATGGGGCGAGTTATCACCAGAACACGAGCTCACTTCAATATCGGTATGAGATTTCTGATTGTCTGTGACTTACTAGGGCGCGGGGTGGTCGGGCGCGGGCCAGGGCGCGCGGCGCGCCTAGGCCAGCGGGTACTGTCACAAGGGCGGCTGCGCGTGCGCGTGGTGGTGGTGGTACAGCGGCGACTGGTAGTAGTTGTCGGCCGGCGCGTGCCCGTAGCCGTAGTTCACGTCGTACATCTTCAGCTCGGACTTGGAGTCGGCGCCGGGCAGCAGGCGCGTGATGCTGAAGGGGTGCGGCGGCGGCGCGTAGCCCGTGGGCTCCTGCTTCAGCTGCGCGTAGTGCTCCAGCGCCAGCGGCGTGTGCTCGGGCAGGCACAGCTCCGGCGCCGCGTGCAGTTGGGCCAGCAGCTCGTCGCGCATCTCCTTGTCCTCGCCCGGCGCCGGCGCCTTCTCGTGGCCGTGCTCGGCGCGCTTGTCGTGCCCGTGCCCGTGCCCGTGCGCCGCCTTCTGCGCCTGCCGGATCGTCTCCTTCTTCTCGTCCTTGAACCGCTTCTGCCGCCGCAGGAAGCAGCCGTTCTCGAACATGTTCCCGCTGTCCGGGTGCAGCGTCCAGAACGAGCCCTTGCCCGGCTTGTCCGGCGTCCGCGGCACCTTCACGAAGCAGTCGTTGAACGACAGCGAGTGCCGGATCGAGTTCTGCCAGCGCTGCTGGTTCTGTCGGTAGAACGGGAACAGGTCCATGATGAACTGGTAGATCTCGGAGAGCGTGAGCATGCGCGTGGAGCTGTTCTGGATGGCCATGGTGATGAGGCTGATGTAGGAGTAGGGCGGCTTGGCGTGCGTGTAGGAGCGGCGGTAGGTCTTGTCGTTGCGCGCGCGCTGCAGCGCCGAGGTGGGCGAGGCGGCCTCCTGCTCGCGCGGCAGCGAGCCGTAGGGCACGGCGCCGCCGCCGCCCATGCAGGACGCCATGGTGCTGGGCGGCGAGTAGCCCAGGCCGGGCGAGCCCATGCAGGAGCCGCCGGCGACCATGTTGTTGGCGTACAGGTTGGGGTAGGGCTGCGCCGGCATGCAGCCCATGCCGTTGACGTAGGGCGGCGCGAGCCCGGGCGACAGCGAGGACAGCGACGCGGACGTCGGCACGTCGCCGTACGAGAGCTTCTGCGAGATCATGGCTAGCGCATCACCCGCGCGTGCACGCCGGCCAGGGGCAAACACTCGCACTGATTGAAAGAGTAAATAGAAGCCGGGGGCCCGGGCGCCCCTCCACCGGGCGCGGATTGGACGGCGGGCGCGGCCGGCGCGGGCCCGCCCTGCGCAGCCGCCCCCCTCGCCCCTCCTCGCCCCTCGGCCCGGCCCGCGAGCCAGCGCCGCTAATAATACCGCAGCTCCCAACGACAAAAACATGGAATAATCATAAGTGCGTTAGCTTGAATGTGTACTTGTGTAGCGATGAATTTCATTCTCAGTTTCTATGTACGAGTAAAGTTGTAGCCGTTCTTTGGCTCCGAAAGTAAGTTTTGGTTCGAGTGAGATTCTTAGATAGTGACGCTGGTATTTTAAAATTTATGGGTTTATTTTTCCGAACGATACATAAAATAAATGTTCTTTTTGCATAGTATGACTAAAGTTTAAAATAATTTATCCTTGCTACAGTGGTGTCTCCTAAAACGAGTAGCCTTTTTCACACAAATACCGTAATGATTTGTGAGTGGTTTCCCGCATTTATTTGCGACAAATTACCACAATAGTAGGTAAAATATGTTATTAGATTACACTGTCAATCGATTTAATATTTAAATCAATTTACCTCATTAATTGTAAACCAATACCATCAATTTTCGTAGCACCGTCTACGCTCGCTACGACGGAGCGCGGAGCGAAGTTTCCGTCGGGAAAATATTTTTTTTTTCCTAACGAACCACGAATAGGAACCAAAAACTGAAAAATAATAATAATAAAACTAGTAAATGAATAGTACTTCTAGAATGTTTTAAATTTATTTTTTAACAGAGATAATCGTTTCTTCTCAAAAACTATTTCTGATTTACTTACGTTTTATAAATTTAAAGGATACCTACCTACCAAACATTTTAAAATAGTCAATTTAAAAATATCTGTGTAAAATAAACTGACATAAAATAGACTTCTATAACTAAGGTTTCAATGATCAAAGAAAATTACCTATCTCTTGAAAAAACAAAAGACTGGAAAAATAGCATTTGAGACAGTGATTTTTTTAAACTGCTACTATTTAATTTTAAAAAGAAATTTTAATGTACTGTATTTGTTAAGTGATAAAATAATAACACAAGATGTTTCTTTTTATTATTTTTCAAATGCATTCAATTTCAAAAGGAACTCATTATACTCAGTGATGTTTGTTAATTAAGTTACAGTGCCTTAAGAAATATTAAAGTTAATTACTATGTATACTAATGTTATTATTTATACAGACTTGTTTTTCATCTCAAGAACTCTCATTATGAAGTCAGTATGTTAATTATGAATATTAATTAATGTCTATGTAAATAAACAAAATTAGCATAGAACGTAGACTGAACTGTATTTTAAATTAATTATGGTGCTTTTGACTGTTTTAAAGTGTCTTTGAGACTGTTTACGAGATTTAAAATAAATGTGTTAAAAAAAAGTTAGAAAAATAAGATTTTATGATTATTGATAGATTTGACACTCACTGACAACTCTACTTAAAAAAATATTTTTTATGCTTAGCAAGGCAGGTATTTGACCGCAATCGCACCTGGTGTTAAGTGAGATGCAGTCTAGGATGGTACATATCTGCCCTGTGCCTATTCACTCTAGCCTTGAAAAGGATTATAGTGTTCGGGAATGACAGCAATAAATTATTTTTCCTAAGAAGTATCACATCTTTTGAATATAAACATAATATTTTAGGTAGGTAATTATTGGGTTTATTTTTGACGGGCCTCGAATACAAAAATCCTAATAATACTATCAATTTCAATCGCTAATTAGCTGAAAAAATACTACACAGTGCATTACATGGATATACCTACAAGGTTTTGGTAGAGTTTGTTACTTAATGCCTAAAATAATTTGATATGCTTTTTCAGGTGTCAAGCTTTTTGATTTTAATATAGCCGCACAGCATCCTGATGATAGATACTTAAACCCATATCTGGACAAATTAAATACTGAAAATAATCTAATCAATTAATAAGTAATTGACTATAATTTTTGAAGCAAGCAATAAAACCGATTAAGGTGATATTATTAGTATGTAACATAGTGACATATGATGTTTTATTGTAATATTAATATTACTCTCAATCTAATTTCGGATAAAATACATATTTTTTCTTGTACTCTGAGTGAATTTACAAAGGCATCATTATTTATTATATGTTATGTGTAGGTTTGTATGTAGGTGGTTACTATATAGTTGTGTATTTGACGTTGTGTATGTTGATGTGTTGTCTTCGCTGTCGCAGTGGGATGTCCTGTGATGACAGTGAAGTGTTGTTGTTGTGAATAAATAAATAAATAAATAATTTTCGTAAATAACTTATTCTTACAACTATATTAGATGCTGCAGTGTTAAGCTTATTTGGCCTAAGAATGCTAAGTATATTTTACCTACAGAAGTGTAGAGCAATGTAATTAAACATTGCAAGAAAAATGGCTTCACAATATTTTGCAATATCTTTAATTATTTAAATAGGTATTAGGTACTATAAAGTTAGGCAAATGCCAGCCTTTAGTGGCTTTAGTTACCTAACTACTGCCCACAAAATAACTCTAATGCCTTTACCCCACAGATATTCATTTCACATCCCATAACCGTTGCTACACACATACGCCATTAGTCGAGATCCGGTGTCGGGTGTCTGGGCCAATGGCGGCACTTTAGACGGTGCTTGCGCAGTCGGGGCGTTTCCATACAAGGTTTTTTAGATTTAGATGACATTTTTAGGACTAGCGGCCGCCCGCGACTTCGTACGCGTGGATCCCATTTTACCCCCTTAGAATTCGATTTGCTGCTTCACTTAGACAAGGATCGTTTGTGAATGCGGGCGTAACTATGCATACCAATCAAAGTGTGAGTAACATACAGCATGGTAGTAAACGTTTTTGAATCAACCAAGTGTCCATGAAGAACGATAAATGTAAATTTTTATTTTATTTTAAATATCATTGTAATATTTTTAATAAAGGCTATATTTTATTAATTAAGCTCCGATAGAATAGAATACAGCGATATAAATTATATTCTTCAAGTCTTGTTACAAAGTTTTGTAGGTACGATCACAGGTTCGATCCCAATCCCCAAGAAATATCTGCGACAAAAATACTAATTCTATAGCATTAAATTATTTATTTATCGATGAATAAGCTAAGGTTCAGTGCATTAAGTTATCCCTTTTAACTTAAAATGCGTCTTCACGCAAAAACTATTGGACGGGTTTTGATGAAACTTCAGTGTATCACATAGGCTTCAAATATTAGCCTTTATTTATCAACATCAACGCAGCCAGATTCTCGAGCAAAGCTAGCGAAATGTAAAAAATCACATAAAGCCCTAAATGAAAATACAGATTTGTGTCCAAATGAATTTCTCGCAAACCTAACTCAATATTTTATCAAAAATAAACATAATAATGAGGCAAACAAAAGCCGGAGCCAAATGTCCTCCAAACAAAGTAAATAACGATAATTATCCATCTTAATTGCAAACAAACAATGGTACTAAATGGGCGGACTAAAGTGCATTAGGTAATTTGATAATTTATTAATATAACTGCGAGATACAAAGAAATCTATTACTTAGATGCTGAGGTTTTGTTCTTTGTGATTGTGATATGAGAGCAAATATGATAAATAAATAATTACCATTATAGGTAATTACCAAGAGACTCTACTTGTGATTATTATAAATTGAAGTTATTATACTTAAATACTACCTACTTACGATCAGTGGCATTTAAAAATTGCTTGAATTTGAAAAGATCACAAAAATCGCCAGTATCTCGTAGTACCTAGTGAGAGAGTTGATCCGATATTCCGTTCGATTCCCACATGGGGCATAGGTAATATTTGTGCTATCAAATAATTAGGATTATATTGTTTTAAACTTTTATCATCACTAACAGAATAATATTATTGACGGAATTGCTACCATGTTCCTTATTTACGAGACTCCGATATTTCGGCACTGTTGCAAGCGCCATGATCACGGAGTACTTAAGTCAGGAGGCGTAATTAAGGTATATGGTAGCAATCCCGTCAATAATATTATTCTTGCATTAGTAGATAATAAGTCGTCGGTCTACCTTACCTTATATCAGACACTACGCCAGCTGATAGAGCTACGTCAGGGTTTTGATCTTACTTTAGTTGTTAATACTAATTTATTTTTATTATTGTGCTTTCGGTCGACAAGTTTTTATTTTGTATGTAAGCTGTTTACCTGTAAGTAGAGACACATCTTTTGGTACATTATTTGTTTGTATAAAGATGTGTTGTTGGTAAATATAAATCAATAATAAATAAATAGTGCCATTTCCAGTAAAATGGCAACAGTGTTTTTACTGTGTCTCGTCAGAATTCAGAATTTCCATAGTCATTGTTTAGTCTCATGAACGTATAGAAATTAATTCATATTTTAAGTAAAATCAAATTCATCGAAAGTATTAACAACATGTTTTGGAGGTCTTCTGAGTGTGTATTGTGAAATGCTTTATATACAGTGTGAGTCACGTTAAAGTGTACATATGAAAATAGATGAAACTAGACCTATTTTTATCGACAAAAAAGAGGTCAAAAAATTTTTGAGATTTTTTTTAAATTTTTTATAGAATTTTGTTTCTTCCAATTACTTATTGTAAAGAAAACGTAATAACTTTTAAACTAAGCGGTATATCCTCATAAAATAAAAACAGTAATAATGCTAAATAACAGGCGATACTAAAAAAATACATGAAATACCTAGAAAATGCCAAAAAATAATAAAAAATGATACTTTTTGAAAAAAATCTGCTTAAAAATTCGTATTTATTTGGTTATTTGATAAATTTCTCCAAAAAATGCCCGTATAACAGGTGGTTTTTATTACTTTTTATTATTCTCTATCGTATGACTTTTGTAAAACCAAAAATCGCATGTCTCTATCCCTATCACAACGTTTGCAATGATCGTTTGAACTAAGCCTCTCCGGGCGCGCCATTCAACGCTTCGTTAACAACGGAACTGAAAGTGACTCT